GTGTGTGTGTGTGTGTGTGTGTGTGTGTGTGTGTGTGTGTGTGTGTGAGTGTGTGTGAGAGGGGGAGCGAGAGAGAGACTGAAAGAGAGCAAGATAAAGAACTAAAGACTATTTGTACGTCACAAACCCTTTTTTCCTTGGCACTCACAAAAGTCCACAATGTAGGTCCATCTGTGTCTTTACTTCTCTCTGTTCATTTGACCATTCCTGTTTCATTATCTTCCCTTTGTTTTTGTCGACATACAGAACGTGAAACATACAGTGTATCAGATTCAGTATCAGTGGAATAGTTATTCTTATCATTATTATTGAGCTATTTCCAGTAACACACTCTCTGTCTCTCTCTGTAGTTGACGGTCAGCAGGAAGCAGGTAGAGCTACAGAGCAGCGAGCTGTCAGAGTCTCACCAGAAGGAGCAGACTCTTCTCTCTGAGGTATGGAAAACAGCAGAAAGAAAAAACTCCTCACTGTCCTTAGATTCATTTAGCTGTGGTTTTCCCTCTCGCATTAGCTTGAAAACAATTATAAATGCAATGAATAGTCCACATCTTGCCCCATACCGCCCAATATCCCCATGGGGCTCAGTGTGGTTTGATCTTGTCTTTTTGCTCAGAACACATTAAGGGGGAAATAACTTACAAAATAAAACATATACAACAGTAATACCTGATCATGGGAGAGTGAAAATATACAAAATAAGACCCACTACTGAACTCCTTTAAGTCTAATCTAGATTAAACATAAATCTGCATGGGAATATAATATGCTGTGTGTCCGTGTCAGCATCAGCCAGTGAAACCAAAAATTCAGCCGGAAAGACAACTTTGGCTGACTTTTGTTTTGTTTTTTTCCACTTTCCATTCTTTCCACTCGTCTGAAATATCCAAACGGTACAGAGTGGTGTGTCTCTGGGAAACTGTCTTTGGCTGAGCGTGCAGACACCGTCTCTCACAGTACATTGACCAAACAACTGCTAAGAGTTTCACTTTGTGGTTAGCCCAACTAACTAGATTAGTTAGCTACAGCTGATATTGCAAACATTTGTCATTCCAGATGGTGAAATCGACACTCGCCACCTGAAAATGAGCCTGCAGACATTTAAAGTTCATAATAAATTGATAATATCATATCAATTAAATATGTGGGCGACTTTTTAGTAGCTTCAAAAAAGACGAAAAATTAGTAATTTGTGCATATCAACAAAGTAGGACACTCTGGAGTGCAAATATCACTAACCAGTCCAATTTTCAAATAGTAAACTCCCTGTCCCTTCCCCTCACTCCCCTCTAAGGTGTCCCGCCTTTTCGACTCATAAATATGGAAGGCGAAAAATGATGAGATTCACGGACAAGAAAGGAATCAAAATCTATTGTTGCGTGTCCTTTTCCCCGTGTAAAGTTTGGATTAAATGTCACACATTAGCATGTGAACTTTTAAATGAGCTTGTTTGCTCTCCGCGGTGTGGGGCATGTAAATACCCATCTTGAGTATGGAATGGGGATTGCTGAGTGGGGGGTTGGGGGTTCACAAGAATTGGGAAGTGTAGGACATATTTGAGTGTTGCACCGGCAATTAGGCCACAGCAAGGGACAGGAGTACCAAACAGCTCTATTGCCTGGTTGCGTCTGGCTGGTGTTCCACACCTGAAGTGGCATATGGGAAAGCTCCCTGTGGCTCCTGGTGATATGAGTAAATGAGTGAAGGAGATGATTGACAGGCGCTCCCAAAATGAAATGATTGACGTGCACTGTCACAATGAATCTACTCGTGGGCTAATTCAGGTGTGAGTGGAAAGAAATGTGTGTGCAAACACGCATGGATATGGGTACATATCCATGTATGTAGCGCGATGTAGCTCAGAGAAATTGGCCATCAAAGATTTGACATATCAACTGCCTCAAGTGTTGAAATTTTGTATTATTGGTCAATTCACTTTTTAGTATTTAACTTTCAAAGATTAAAGCTTGGTTTGGTATTGTTGGAGAAACCGGTAAGTGTAAGCTAGATTTCAAAAACAACCAATCCAGTGTTGCCAACTGCTTTTCAATGGAAGCAGCCGGCAGCATTAACTCCAAAAGTCACTAAATCTAGCGAGAAAGTCGGCAACACTGACAGCTCTTCCTTTTCGTCGTATCGCCAACGCCACTCCCCAAAATGATCACTATGAACAGTAACAATGAACAACTTGTTAGTAAATTAATATAGCGCAACTATTGGACATTCGATTTATTGATTCATGCAAGGATGTAAAGAGAATTTCAAAACAATATAACAAAAAAGGTTTCTAATATACATTACCCCTCAAGCTTTAACCTATAAAAAACAAGTGTAGAGCCATAATAATATGCTCGTAAAGTTTTGTTTACAAAGAAGTCAGACAGGATCTTATATTTCCGAGCTCATGATATGCCACAATGATGCGCATGTATGTGTGTGCATGCGTTGCCGTGTTGTGTAAGATATTTGATAGTAACCAAACACCATTCTATATTTGCACAATTCTTTTCATTGACTATAGTTCTCTTTGTTTTAAAATGTGAGGCTGCTTATTTATTGACATAATTTCCTCTCAGTGAAGGGCTTGTGTCTGTAAAACACATTAAAATCATAATGCAATCTTTGCTAACCCAGGAGCAACGTTATTGTTCTATTATACTCACCCAACAACAGTATCCCAGCCTGTTTATCAATCCAATATCTCATAATGTGCTCTCTGCTTGGCCATTTTGAATATAAAAAGATCTCACACTGTTATTGTACCATATTTCCTATATTTAGTATCAATCTCTTGTTCTGACGTGAATCTGACACATCCAATATGATATTTGATTAGTTGTTTTGGTTTTTGTTGTTGTTTTTTCATAGTCTCCAGGTGATATTGGATACATGTGCAGAGCTAGTATTATGTTGGCTGTTTCATCTGGGTATAAAAATGATTTAGTGTGTACTCAGCACGCAGTGTCATTGACTAGCTTTAATTTCACTGCAAGGGTGGGCTTTATTACTCTGCTATTCTCTGAGTGTGTGTGAGAGAGAGAGAGAGAGAGAGAGAGAAGGAGCAAGAGAAGGAGCAAGAGAGAGTGAATGTTTCTGTGAATATATATCTGTGTAGCAGCATGACACACCTGTGCACACTCATGCACGTGTGCATATCTCTGTATATATCTCCAAGCCTGCTGTATGTATCAAACATCTTCAGCACGTAATTACCATTCAACGGAAGAATCAAGCGAACCAACACGTGGAACAGCTCTCACATCACACTCTGGCCAAACCGGTGGTCCCATTTCAAGAAAAACATCGGGGCTCCACTTTGCCGTGACAAACCTTACTTTTGATCAAATGCTACAGAAACATAATCATGTTTGTGCCACTGAATTCTTTAACCTTTCCGTGACCCTGCTGAATGCCAGCGGCCCAATCACAGAACCTAATTGAATCTGCTCGGCGGCGCCCCCCCGACTGATGAAAAAATAAAATTGGAGGTGAAAAATGAATACAGCAGCAGGGAGAGAGAGAGAGAGAGAGAGAGAGAGAGGGAAGGAGGGAAGGAGGGAGGTGATGCTGGTGGAGGTGGAGGGAGGGGGGGGGTCGCACCGCAGTTTTATAAATATACAGATGTGCTCACAAACACACAACCAGACACGTACACACAGTCACACCTTTTTCAATCCTGCAGGAGAATGGGGAGTGGGAAATGACAGAGAGAAAGAGATGAAGAGAGGAAGAGGGGCTGGGCCCAGGTTTCTCATTACCCCCTCGGCCCATTCGGAGGATATTCCTATAAGATAATCTGATTTATTTGCAATTTTCCTTTAAGCGGCTTAGTGTTTACCTCCAAGATTAATATTTTTCTCTGTTATTAATATCAGACTGTAATTAGGAGTGATGTGTCTCGCCAAGCACAGTTCCGTGGCCGCCAGGCAGCTAGCTGGATGAAACTCTTGTTGCGACTCTGTGATCTGTGACAAAAAAAAAAAGAGCAAGGAGAAGGAAGTTTTAAAAGGCGGTAAGAGGCTGCAGGGCGCGGGATGTAGAATTACAATTGCGGCATACCTGTCTTTGTGTCTACGATGGTGTGCATGTGGGACGGTAGGAATGGGGGAGTGTGTATTTCTTTAGTTTATGTCTGTGAGTGTGACAGTGTGATGGTCCCCTCTGATTGATAAGGTGTCTGTGCCGGCTGCAGATTGCTCTTGCTGATTGCTTCTGAGAGCTCCAGCTGATTTATAATCAGAGCAGGATGAAGGATTGAGCTGTGGATTGCTTATCTGTTTAGCCCCCTCACAACATAAACTGACAAATTATCATGTTGAACACACACACACACACACATCTAGACACACGCACGCACATGTGAAAGAAAAAAAAAATGTAATAACGCAGACCTTCTTATTAAACACACACAAACATACTGTCACATCACACACACACACACACAAACACACACACACACACACACACACACACACACACACACACACAGAACATAAACAGGTTTGTTCATCAGCACAGTCATACTTTTATGATTGCCCAAAAGAGTGCAATCAGTCTCATTTGTTTACATGTCAGTGTGAGATGTATAGAAGTCAAGTTGCAATTAACTTGTTTTATAAACTTAGAGTTTTGATTTGCTCCATGCTGAAGAAATATTTGGAAGATGTTGTACCAATGATTAAGGATGTGGATGTTCTTCTTTTGTTTTTTTGACAAGCGCTCCTCGCTGCTTACTTTACTTGATATTAAACTGCTTTTCTGCGCATTCCTAGAATCTACACTGTAGGAAGAGTTGCTAAATAACAATAACAAATACACATACTTTTACTGGGCAAAAATTCTGATTGTGTTTAAAATATTTTATTTATCGAAAGTGGGTGTTTGTTGTATTTGATAAAGATGCTGGTATACTATGTGAGACTAATTCTACGTGGCAAGCCAGAGTACAAGCCAGCAGGTTTAAATGCTGACAGGTTTAGTATGCCCTATGGCACAGTGACGTGTGTGTGTGTGTGTGTGTGTGTGTGTGTGTGTGTGTGTGTGCGCGTTTCTGTGTGTGCGTTTCTGTGTGTTTCTGCCTTTCTGTCTTCCTTCCCATTCTTACCTGTCTGTCTGATTATCTTTTACTTTCTCTCATTTTACCACAGTTGTTTGTAAATGCACAGTGACAGAATCACCAAAGAAGCACAAAAACACAAAGTACAGGAGCACTTGGCATCCCACACACACACACACACACACACACACACACACACACACACACACAC